ACGAGGGGGGGACCCCGCTATACCCCCCGTAGCCGGTCTCGAAGACACAGCGGCGGCCAGGCCGCGAAGTCCAAGCCGGGCCCACCGCCCTCGTTACTCCTGGCAACCGCCAGCCGGCAGGCCGAGGCCCAGCTTCCCCGTCCCCGCTCGGCGCCGGCCAACGCGGGCCTCACCCGGATCTTGCGACTGATCTCGGTGCCTATCTCCATGGCTCCGCGGCGTGCGGCGGGCTCGGCACTGCGCAACGCTTCTTCAACCCGGAGCCCGCCGCGGTCTCCTACTCCGCCGCCCCCGCCTCTTCCACCGCCTCTCCGCCCCCGACCGCGCGCACTGCGTGTCACCGCCCCCGCCGAAGCTCTGGCGAGTCAGAGCGAGTGAGGACCAGTGCGCCTGCGCTTGCGTTTGCGCCTGCGCAGACCTCGGCTCGCGAGTTTACGCTCTGGCGACCCCTGCTGGCTGCAAGGGGAACCGCGGAGTACGGGTGGCCTTCAATCCGTACTGGGCACTCTGGGGAGACTGTTCGACCCTTTCCTGGCCCTTTACTTACTCATTTTATTTTCTTTTGGATAGTAAGAGTGAATTAAATGTGTAGCGGAAAGATCCCAGGCAATGCCGTGATATCCAAGTTCAAACCCAGCTTCAGTTCTCTTATTTGTAAATGGAGACTTCCTCCTAGAGGTTGCAAGATAACTACACTTGGAGGGAAAAGGACTATGCAGCACAGCAGAACCATCCACCACAGTCCTTTCTTTGACAGTACAGCTTCCCAGGCTCCCTTGGTTTGGCTCTGTCGTCCTTCTCCCAGTTTCCTCAGTGGTTTTTCCCCAAGGCTAAGCCACATCCTTCTGCTCCTCTCTGAGCTCCCTCCCTCCTTTGGAGAACTTATTTTCAGAATTTCAGTTTTCACTTTCATTCTAATACTGGCTAAATTTTCCATCAGCCTTGAGTTTTCACCCAAACTCCACTCCCATATTCTGGATATCTACATGCAAATTTATTTTCTTCAAATTCCACACTTTAAAACTGTTCTTCATCATCTCTTCTTTGCTCAGATCGGTTTCTGCTCCTGATTTCCCTATTTCTTTCTTTTTCAAAAAATGTTTTTTTGTTTTAAATTTCTTTCATTACTGAGTGTCTCTTTGCTAGTATTTGGAAGATCATTATTTATCCTACAGATGCATTTTTCCACCATTTTGTGTGCAAACCACCTAAAAGTCTTATTTCCCCTGTTGAACATTGTTCTCTTTGACAACATTATCAAAATGGACCTTATGCTGCAATCACACAGGATAATCTTGGAAAGTGTGAATATCTAAATGATTTTTTTAAGGTATTATTTCTTTCCTTCAGTTTCAAATTTTTTCTAACAGTTTCCAAAGACAAGATGACAGCTACCTGAAGCATGTCTTCTTTACTCATAGCATCATCACCTGGATCGTTTCCAAGTGCTCCTTCCACATGGACGGGAGACCTGTCCTGGTGGATCTGGCTGCTGCTGCTTTTCAAAGTAGGCTTCTCTGCCGCAACTCTTCTGAAGTAAGATTTGTGCTTGATGTCTGTGGACTACCTTGAGATATATTTCTGGAACTACTTTGCATACTGAGCTGAATAGCCCTGTGGAGATTTGCTTCTTCATCCTCCATGTCAATTTCTTGGTGACTTAGTGCCAGGGCCCTCTGCAAATCCTCCTCATCTTCGTCTAACATTCCTGACCCATGATTTGCTTCTAAGATTCATTCTAGGTCTATTTTATGGACTCTCTGATCTTTTAGTTGTGCTAATTCTTATCTAGTAAGTTTTGGTTGATGCGTTTGTTGGACCCTGATCATCTGTAGGAGTTGGTCAGCTTCACAATCCAGCAGATCACCCTTGATGACAAATATAGAATAACGTTCCTGTTGCAACTGAGCCAAGAAAAGTGCAAGGTATGTATCTGATATTAATTCTAGACCCACCAAGAGAGAATTCAAGTTAAATCACTTTTTTCCTAGCTGTAAGCCAGTGTTCTTTATAATTGCATATAAATGATCTTTCATTTATGGGATCGATCCTGAGCCTCTGATACTCTGGACTGTTGAATAGGATTAGTTCTAAACCCCAAACTTTCAAGCATTGCTTATAACCTGAATAGAGAGAAAATTGCTGGCATCCGTGTTCTCAGAAGGCTGCTGTAAAAATATGCAATAGTCTTCACTAGTGACTCCTCCTTCTGCCATTCTCATCCTCTCTTCTTCATCTAGCTGATGTGCAATTGAGGATATCTCCATAGGGCTAAAATATTCTCCTTGCAACAGGTTATGCAGGCAATGCTGAGCACAAAGTGAGTCTTCTTGTTTCTCGTGGAAGATAGATTCCATGTTTATTTGTCTGGAGCCAATGACTCCCATGCCAAACCAGCCCCCTCCAGCTCCATCCCCTATTTCTTTCAATAGTGGGTTAATCATTCCTGTCTCTGATCACAAAACCTTGGAGGCAGAGTAGTCATAGAAAGGGTCTCTCTTTTCCTCCATATCCAGGAATTCTTGAGAGTACCCTCTATTAGTTCATAATTACTGCATAACAAATGACCACAAATTTAGCAGCTTAAAACAAGTTGGGGGGCCAGCAGACGTCACTGGACTCCCACGTGGCTGACCACAGTTTGCTCCCCAGACCAGGTGGCTTGGGAATCACGCTGGGCACATGTACATGCCCAAGATCCCAGGAGGAGAATGGAGAAGAAGGGATTATGAAGTGGTTACGCCCCCTAGAGGGTGATTTCTTACTCTCCCTATCACTGTTTCTCTCCCCCCCTCACTCTCTCTGTCTCTCTCGCTCTCTCTTTCTCTTGTAAGTGTATACGCTCTAAGGCAAAATTCTCTTTAAAAGCACACACACACAAAAAAGTTGGGGGTCACTCAGTGGCATAGTGGTTGAGGAGCCAGGACCCATACCCCCATACCTGGTTTGAGTCCTGGACTTGGCAACTTGAAAATTATGCCAGCTTTGGGCCAGCAGGTGGCATGGTGGTTAAGGGTACTGGACTCCCACATGGTCGACCGAGGTTTGAGTCCCGGATGTGGCGGCTTGCTTTCTCACTTTCTCTCTCTTGCTCTGTCCCTCTCTGGTCAAATGAAGATAAATGAATAAAGTAAATAAAGTTAAATAAAATTTTTAAAAAATTATGCCAGCTTTGGGGTCAGCAGGTGACATGGCGGTTAAGGCACTGGATTTCCACGTGGCCATCCACAATTCGAGTCCTGAACCTTGTGGCTATTGAAAATCATGCTGAGCATATATCCGTGAGTGCCCAAAATCCCAGGAGGAGAATAGAGAAGGAATTGTGGTGTGGCCATCCACCCTGGAGGGTGATTTTTTACTTTTCCTCTAACTGTCTCTGTCTCTCTCTGGTCTCTCTGGTGGGTACATAACCACATGTGTGCCTGTGATCCCAAAATCCTACAAGGATGGAGACATGGAAGAGAAGGAATTGCAGCATGATCATCTCCCATTGGGAGATGCTTTCTCTCTCTCTTCTCTCTCTCTCTCTCTCTCTCTCTCTCTCTCTCTCTGGCAAGCACACACCGCCTCTGGCAAATTACACACACACACACACACACACACACACTTATCATCTCATGGTTTCCATGGGTCAGCAACCACCTGAGCACAGCGTCACCAGGTCCTCATAAAAGGTCTTCCATGGCCGGCACCAGCAGTTAATGTAATGGCTATATCGCTGGACTCCCATGTAGTTGACCATGGTTTGAGTCCCGGACCCAGCAGCTTAAATTCACGCCAGGCACATGTGCATGCGTGCCCAAGATCCTGAGAGGAGAATGGAGGAGAAGGGATTGTGGAGTGGCCATCCCCCCGGGGGGTGATTTCCTGCTTTCTGTCTCTCTATCTTTCTGGCGAGCGCATGCACACGCCCTATAGCAAAAACCTATCAAAAAAAAAGAGGTATATTCCATGGCTGCAATTGAGGTGTCGGGCCAACTGTGTCTCTTCCGGAGCTTGACTAAGGATCCATTTTCAAGCTCATCTAGGTTGTTAGCAAGAACTCATTTCTTTGTGGTGTTATAAGTAAGGACTCAGGTTTTTGCTGGTCATCATTTAGAGGTAACCTCAGATACCTGCCACCAGCTTCTCCAACTTGGCTGCTTACTTAATCAAGCAAAGAGAATCTTCCCTCTCAACTCAAGAAAGGACCAGTTTCTCTTTTATGGGTTTTCATCTAGTAAATATAGGCTCACTCAAGGCCCAAGCCAAAAGTCACCAGATATAGGGCCTTAATTATATCTATAAAATACCTCATTTTCACTAGATTCATTAGCTAGAGGTGATACACATTCAAGAGGAGAGGATAACACAGGGTGTGGACAGCAGGAACAGAAATCACGGGACTACCTTCCACCTGTCTGCCACATGGCCAATCCATAATCTCATATAATCCTTTCTCCTGACTTTCTCAAGCAACTATATGGGAACTACTGGCACGATACTCAATATGCTCTCTCTCATGTTAATTTCACATGTGTGCATTTTTGTATCTGCAACAAAATGATAAGCTCTCTATAGCCTTCCCATCTCACCAACATTTCTTTTCAGACACCAGGTACATAGTAAGCATTTATTATGTAGGGTAGAAGAAACAAAATACCTAATTTACAAAAGCATTCCTCATAGGTAAATCTAATGATCGAACATTCATTCAACATTGATGAGAGGCAGTGGAGGAGAGTGACTGAGAACCAGGACCCTGGAGCCAGCCTGTCTTCTTTTGAATCCTAGCACTCCTTCTGAGCTCTGACACTCCTTCTGAGACCTTAGGTAAATTGCTGATCCGCTCTATGCCTCAGTTTCCTCATCTGTGACATAGGTATGGTACTGGTTACTCCTGCAAAGGGTTACTATGCAGACGAAGTAAGTTAATATTTGTGAAGCATTTCAAACCGCACTGAGATCATAACAGCACTAGGTTTGCTGATTAAAAATTAAATGCCTACAACTGAGCCAGATACTGTGCTGGGAAGCAGAGCACAAAGATGAGCAAGATCAAGTCCCTGCTTTCATGACACTCACAATCCAAAGGAGAGGTAAGCTGTTTCTGTTCCTTTGCCCACCATTTCAAAACTAAGGATGCAAAGAGCTGTTACAAAGTAATGGGTACAAAGTTCTCAGTCACTATACAGAAAATATTGGATGAATATTTTATAAAAAAAATACTGTTTTCTGAAAATGTATTCAGAATAGGGAAAAGATCAAAAGGTATTTAAGAAGGAGCTCACTTGGGGCCAGCAGGTGGTATAGTAGTTTATGTCACTGGACTTTCACATGGTCCACCACAGTTTC